TTGGGGATAGGGTTTATATTATGAGCATCATGAAAAATCATACTAGGCCTTATTTTCAGGTTAGGTCTTATTTTCGGGGAAACAGGGTAATTGTTGCTTAGCTTTCATGGATGGGTACTTTCACCAAACTGACATGGAGGATGGTGATAACTGAGTAGACAACCCTCTGGTGTATTAAATGGGTTGTTGAATTAAATAGGAGAGTGAGGAAACCTCTATTTTCATCTTTTCGTTTTAATAATTCCCTAAATGAGGCAGTCAAATTCTTTTTTAATTTTTTTTCCTAATTTTTATCAATATAAAATAAACCTACTACTACACAAAAAAACTATATAAAATACAAACAAAACAATACAATAAAGTACAATAACCCTTGTGCACCCATCACTTTCAGGACTAGCATTACATTTCGTTCCATCCATTTTCACTCCAAAATTTCATTGTTTCTTCCCTCGGTGTAAACCCCCTCCCTCTCTGAAATACATGTTCCAAAAATACATTCCATATTTTCTTAAAATCATTATTTTTCATTTGGCCTCTACTTATTTTCATATCACATGTCAGTTTATTATTAATTGCCATGTCCCATAATTCTCTATACCATTCCTCCAAGTTAAATTGATTATCATTTCTCCAGTTCCTTGCAAAAATTATCCTTGCTGCCGTAATCATTATTAATATTAAATCCTTATTTTCTTTCACCAATTGATCTTCCTTAATCAGATTCATTAAGGCTGTTAACGGAGACATTTGAATATTCAATCCAATTACAGTATTTCAGATATTTCTTTAAATATTAAATTCCATTCTTTCTTTTTTCACATAACCACCACATATGTAAATACGTCCCCTTCTCTTTTTTACACCTCCAGGCGGACGTCCCCTTCTCTTTTTTACAACTCCAGGCAGTCAAAACCTAAAACCGTGACATGTTGATTCATTCATTCATTTTTACCCTGCCTTTCTCCTTAAAAAGGACCCAAGATGGCTTATATCCAAGTTCCCACTAAGCTGGGTGTGTGTACGCATGCGCACAACTCCGCTTCCCTCCATGCAGCTGCCTTCCACCACCGAGCAATCATGTTAGGTTCTGGTTGTGATGGAACCTAGATCCTTGACGATCTTTTCCTTTTATTTTGTTCTCTATCTTCATTTACGTTTTAGCTGTAATGTCTTAAAATTACATTGTTGTTTTATTGTAAGCCGCCTAGAGTGGTCTAATATGATCAGATAGGCGGGATAGAAATAAAATAAATAAATAAAATAAATAAATAAAATATGTGGGGGGTGGAGTAATGTGAGAGAGGCGGAGCCCTGCCCAGTGGGGAGGAAAATTAGAGGGTACGTTGCTTGCATCATTAAAATAAAATATTAAAGATAACAACAGTGAGTATACAAATATTAAAAAAAAATCAAACAAATTTACTAAAAAAAACCTTAGCAACACCAAAACACATTCAGAACATTAAGGTACAACCATCCATTTGAAAGCTCCACTCAGGCAGCTAGTTACTCTGGGAAAGCTTACCTAAAACATGCCTACTTGTGGAAGGATGGTAAAGATGAGGCCAGCCTAACCTGTGGGAGGGAGTTCCAAACTCTAGGAACAGCAGCTGGGAAGGCTGTCTCCTATGTTCCCACCAAACACCCCTGGGAAGGTGGCAGGACCAAGATAAAGGCTTCTGATGATGATCTTTTAACACCTAGGCAGGCTCATAATGAGAGACAGGGTCCTTGAGATAGTGTAGATGCAAGCCGTTTCGGGCTTTATAGATTAGAACCATCAGTTTGAAGTGTGTCTGGAAATGGATCGACAGTCAGTAGAGCTGATTTTACAGGGGGAGTTATGTGATTACCATAACTAGCCCCAGTTAGCAATATCGCTGCCACATTTTGGACCCGCTGAAGTTTCCATAGACAGCCCAGGTATAATGTGTTATAGTAATCTAGCTGGGATGTAACTAAAGCATGTGTCACCATGGGAAGATCAGTCATTTCCAGGAAAAGATGCAGCTGGCGCGCTAGTTTTAATTGTACAAATGCAGTCCTGGCTACTACTGAAACCTGGGCATCCAGGTCAGGGATGAATCCAGGAGCATCCCCAAGCTGCACACCTGTGTTTTCAGAGGGACTGTAACCCCATCCAGCACAGGCTGCATCTCTGTTCCTTGCCTTTCAACTGATGAAGAGCACTTATATCTTGTCTGGATTAAGTTTCAGTTTATTAACCCTCATCCAGTCTATTACTGACACTAGACACTGGATTAGAACTGAAGCAGCTTCCTCAGATTTAGATGGAAGAAGCGACAGAGCTGGGTGTCATCTACATACCGGTGACACCGAATCCCAGATTCCTGACAGTCTCTTCCAGTGGTTTCGTGTAGACGTTAAATAGCATAGGAGACAAAACAGAACCCGGAGGGACCCCTCAAGCCGGCAACCAGGATATCAAGCAGGAATCACCCAGCACTGCCACTGTAAAACAGTGCAAGTCCCATCCCAGAGAGGGGGCCAGGAGGATACCATGGTTGATGGTATCAAAAGCTGCTGAGAAGTCTAACAGAACTAACAAGGACACACTCCACCTGTCTAGTTCCTGGTGTAGGTGATTCACCAAAGCAACCAGAGCAGTTTTGTCCTATAACCAGGCCTGAAGTCCAACTGAAATGAATCTAGGTAAAGTGTCTCATCCAGGAACTACTGGAGCTGAACAAGGCGGAGGTTGAGTAAAAGGTTTTCACACACAGGAATTGGGTAGATGGGCTATTTGAGGTGTATATCTCTATGACTCATCACCACCCCCGGGTGGAGGTGGCTAGGAGGGTCTCCTCAACCATAGGCTCCATGAACTCCAGAGATGGGGGTATTTGTATAAGAATGCCCTCACGCAGGTGGACATAACCGTCCACTCACCTTCTGCTGTTGTTGCAAGCTCCGTGATCCTTTCTTTTTGCTCCAAAGCTCGCAGTCTGCAAGCCACTCCTGGCAGGAGGTGAGAGGACGAGCTGTGCTGCAAGGTTGAAGAGTGGCTCACAGACTGCAAGCTCTGGAGCTATAGGAAAGGATCACGGTGCTCACGGCAACAGCGGAAGATGAGTGGACGGTCTGGCCCCAGTGTGCTGGACTCTCATAATGTCCACCTGTGCAGGGGTATTTGTATTCAAATACAAATGCCCCCATCTCTACTCCAGACTCTCATTGGTGCTAGAACTGGTCTTAGAGATGGCGAATGGTACAGGGATTGGTGAGGTGTCTGGCTCTTCCCATTCTGACTGTCAGTGGGGAACTTAGGCACCTGCCGCTGATCTCAATCTTCAGCCAGTTCTGTTCACTGGGCCTCTGAAATTTCCAATCTGGGGCTGGTATCTAGTTCACAACATTGACCCCAGCCAGCTAATGCCCTTTAAGGAAAGCCAGTAGCACTGAGATGCTGCAGGTTCTTGTTGTGATTTTTCCTCCACTTCTGGGGTGGGGCCAGGCCAGGCCAGTGGACAGGTGCTAGACTAGGTATCTCTGTTAATGTGATGGAGGCCCAGGTTGGATGACCTCTGGCACTCTTCTCCTGGGTCCTTTCCCTCAGAGAAGTGGACCCACTTACCTGTCCACCAATAGCTGGTTCTCACCAAGGGGACACAATGGGCTACATCTCCTCTGAGGCTTCCATCCCGTTCTCCCCTGGTTCTCACCAAGGGGACACAATGGGCTATGTCTCCTCTGAGGCTTCCATCCCATTCAGAGGCTGTTGAAAGTGACAAGTCTTCACTCTCTTGCGCCTCCTCCTGTTTTAAGCCCAGGTCCATCAACCAACCCTGCCTCTGCTCCAGTTTCCAGGAATGGCTCATCAGCCTCCTCAGTCCTGCTTTGTGCTCTGCTCTCACCTTCTGGACCCTCAGGCTGCCCTGCCTCCAGATTCTTTGAGATTATTTGGGGGGCACTGAACCAAGGCACATGTCCTGCTGGGGACAGCTGAAGCCTCCTCACAACTCACTGAAAGAACAGTTGGCGTAGTCCATGATCCAGATTTGTCACTGGAGGCACAAGAGGCTTTGGTGTCATGAAGTTCTTTGCCCACTAACTTTGGCCAATATATCTACTAAAGCAGCGGGCCCCAACCATTTTTGGGGCCGCGGACCGGCTAAGGGGAGTGAGCTTTATGCAAGGTGGTAGATCCATGTGAGTGTGGGGGGTGTTGTGCTCGTGTGTGCGTACAACACGCCCCTTGCATGTGACACACCCACCGCACATGAGGGTGCCCAGGAGATTCGTATCCGCAGCCCAGTTCCAGCAAGCCCATGGACTGGCACTGGGCCGCGGACTGAGGGTTGACGACCACTGTGCTAAAACCATTACCAGAAAAAGAGCTTAACCATGGTGACTAGTGCTCCAGTAACCTGTTTTGGGGTTATTTCATGTTGTTGTTGTTGTTGTTGTTGTTGTTGTTATTTTTATTTTTATTTTTATTTATTTGTATCCCGCCTATCTGGTCAATCGAGGACCACTCTAGGCGGCTAACAATCTTAAAAAATAGTACAGTAAACATGTAAATAACAATTCTAAACCATAAAACACTACATTATGATGGGAAAACACAAAACATAGCACAGTAAGGGAGAAAGAAAGAGGTCATGAGTTATGTGATGGGAAGGCCTGCCGAAACATCCAAGTTTTTAATTGCTTCTTGAAGGTAGTCAGCGAGGGAGCCCTGCGAGTCTCAGGAGGTAAGTTGTTCCAGAGGCAGGGAGCCACCGCCGAGAAGGCCCGATTTCTTGTCTTTTCCTTCCGGGTCTCCCTCGGCGTTAAGCTCCTCAGCCTCACCTCCTGGCTCGCACGAGTGACACGGGTAGATCTTGGTGGGAGTAGGCGTTGGGAATGCCCTTTAATACACAGTAATCTGGAAATCTTAGTTGGTCCAAAATGCAGATATTAGGGACAATACAGCACTGATCTTGAAATATTTGCATTGGCAATTGTTTCTGGACTGACTATAAAGTGCTGTTATTGACAATGTCTGCAAGGAACTGGGAAGACGCATGCCTGAGGGAGTACCTCTTGTTGCCTGTGCTTCTGGATCTAGGAGCAAAGCGGTCAGTACATTCAGTAGTGATTTGCAATGAGGCCTTCTCTAATCTTGGAATGTTAAACTGTCCAGAGTGGTGTTCTGTTTCTAAATGATCAGGATAAACATATAGTGTATATCTGAGCTAAGGTGTACAAAAGCATAAATTCTAAGTAAATGCATGTAGGCTTGAACCAAGACAGGTGCCATATCCTGTACTCATTTAGGAAAGAGCGCCTTCTCCCACCCAGTTCTGCCAGAGACACTCGTTCTAGCAAGGCTGGGTGACTGAGGGGCCTAACGCCGAGGGAGGCCCGGAGGAAAGAACAAGGAACCGGGCCTTCTCGGCAGTGGCCCCTTGCCTCTGGAACAACTGGCCCGTAGAGATCCGTCTGGATCCTTCTCTGGGTGTCCTAACTACTGTAAAGACATGGCTATTTAGGCAGGCTTTCCCTCCTGCTGTATTTTAATATCTACATTTTTGCATCTTGGATTTTTGCATGTTATTGGTTTTATTGTTTTTAAATTTTGTTATGCCGCACAGAGTAGACTAGATGGGTGGGGTATAAATCTAATAAAATAAAACAAATAATAAAAATAAAATAAATTAATGTAATAATGTAACTAGTTGGAGTTGTCACACATACAGTTTTAATCTCAGTTGCAGAGCTACAGGACACTACTTAGATGGGCTGTGATCCAGCAGATTCCTCAGCAATTCAGTATTTGGATTATAGCTAGTTTAACTGTGACATACACAACAGTCTAGAGACAGATTTGTTTTTGTATACACTTTCAGATAGTAGCTTGTTTAAGATGTCTCAAAAAAGTTTGTTTTGTTTAATTTCAGGGCTTTCAAGTTTTGCACTCCTGCTTAAAAGAAGATGACTCCATCAGTTCTTGCAGCAAGGGTAGAAACTTGGCTTTCATCTACATGGCATGTGAAGGTTTCAGCACAGTGGCTAGAAGCTTGTATTGATTGGATTCAACAAGAAAATGGTGGGAGCACTTTGGCTCAGGCTTCAATTAATAAACAAGTATTTGAGCAATGGCTTCTTACTGATCTCAGAGATCTTGAATACCCTGTTCTGCCTGACTGTATTTTAAATGATCCAAAAGGAGAATTGAATGGCTTTTATTCCATACAAATAGATTCACTTGTTGATGTGAGTCAACCTGCCTATTCCCAGCTGCAGAGGATAAGAGGGAAAAATAGTGTCAATGAGGAAATCACTGCCAGTACTCAGGGAACCTTGAGGTCTTGGGAGACAAAACCTACTCGAATGTTAATGCTACAACTAACTGACGGCATACATCACATTCAAGGTATGGAATACCATCCTATTCCTGCCCTCTACAGCACTCTTCCTCCAGGTACAAAAGTTATGATACAAGGGAAAGTTGGATATCGCTTAGGTGTTCTTTTGCTTAAACCAGAAAATGTGAGATTGTTGGGAGGTGAAGTAGAGAGCCTTGTAGAAGAATTTGCTGCAGAAAGAGTTCTTGCTAGACTAATTGGAGATGAAGAAAATGGTCCTAACACTATCAGGACAAATATTGGAGAATCTGCAATTTCACAACCGCTTGATGAACTTGGTCAAGTTCTGGGCCCCTCTGATGAAGAGCTTCTGGCAGGTCTTGGGGAAAATGATGAATTTTCAATCAATGAAGTCCCTCTTGAAAGTGGCTATTATAGCAGAAGTACCAGTTCAAATTCTGCCAGGCATTCTTCTCTCAGCAATGGAAGCAGCTTGCAACAAGGTCCTGCAGTATTCATTTCAGGAAATGAAGAACAAAATGTTCCCATTTTGGAAAATACGGAAGGGCATTTTGATGAATTTCCATTAGATGATGATTTATTTTTAGAAGAGGAGGTGCAGGAAGAACAGATACAGGTTCTGAACAGAAGTCCTATCATAAACTGTCAGCCTACCAGAGAAAAGAAATTTGAGGAAAGAAAATTATACAGTGACACTAAAGAAAACACAGGAGATTTTTCTACAAATCATGAAGTGGTGCACATCCAGAACTTGGATGGCTGTTTAAGCTATAAGCTTGTACAAAAGAATGATAGTAAAAGCAATGAAATGTTTTCCTGTATCTCTAGCAATAGATTAGCAGACTTTCATACAAAAATTGAACAATATTCTAACCATGTACAAAGTTGCAGAATAAAGAATAAATTCCATGAAGTCTGTTTAGATACTCCTCCTTTCACATATTTATCAGTCTTATTAAGCAGCAAGCCCAAATGTATTACAACCGTGAAAATTAAAGCATTTATAGTAACTCTTACAGGAAATTTAACAAGCAGTGGTGGCGTCTGGAGTATAGCAGCAAAAGTATCTGATGGCACAGGTTATCTGGAAGTTAATTTTGCTGATGAAATTCTAACAAGCTTGATTGGGTTTTCAGTACCTGAAATGAAACAGCTAAAGAAAGTTCCTGTCTTGTTCCCAAAGCTTAATGAGGGTTTACAGAACTGTCAAAGAGAGCTAATAGACCTCTGTTGTTTGATGACCATTGAATTTAATCCATCCCAGACAAAAGCAACAGTAGTAATTTTGCAAGATGTTAATACGCATGATTTGGATAATTTAAAAAGACGGTCACACATGTGACATTTAAGTGACAGTTTTGATTTTAATCCCAGAAAAGTGTCATTTTGATGCTGTTTTGATAATGTTTGGATTAAGAAAGGTCACGATGTGAGAAATATTTTGATACTTGAACATATTTTCTTTACGTTTTCCTAGTTCAAGATACATGTATATCTTAACAAAGGTTTGCATTATGCATTTTTAATACTTAAATATCAGGAAAGCAAGGTTTTGAAAAAAGGCAGACATTAAATAGTAAGGATCTGATTCCTGAGACATTTTATATTTAGAGAGTAGTGAAAATAAGGTGGTGCAAAAAAGCTGGCGTGAATTCTGTTTGTGTTGTTTTCACTCGTAGCATTCAAAACTTGTGCCTTTAGAAAATCTTAAAGTAAATTTAACTGTTTATAAGAGGTAGACTTTTTTTTTGCTCAGAAATTTAAAAGTTAAATAGATTTACTTGTTCATGTATGTATTATTGTTTATGTATTTGTAAACTGTTTTTATAAATAAAAATCTTCCAAGCTGGCTTACAAGTAAAATAAAGCAAGTTTTTTGCAGAGGAGTTGGAAGTTCTTCATTGGGTTTCAATATTACAGTATTTGGTGATGCCTGTGCTATACCTACGCTAAGAAAATGTTCAATTATGTTGTAAAAAATATTGATGATTTAAATTATGAAGCTCAGCAGTTATCTTGTCATATGTTACTGCTCTAATGTGTATTTTAATAGATATCAAATTTTTAGGAAGAAGTTGAGTTATATCAAATCATTAATGCATATTTAAATGAAAGTGATTTTTGTTGCATTCTTATGCATACTTATTTAAAAGTCAGTTCATGTGGCTTACTTCCAGGAAAACAGATGCAAGACTGCAGTCTTGGAGTACAATTCTGTATGACTCGTCTTGTAATAATAGAAATGGAAATTAAGGAAACTTGTGAGTAGATAGGTACAGGATCACACTGTCATATAAAATGAAAGACATTAAGTGTAGATGCAGTATTTCTATCTAAAGCTGGCAAAGGCAGTTGATGTTGCACAGCAGTTGCAAGACTTGATGTGCAACAGCAAATGCCTATGACTTTAAATTTGCATTAGTTTGCAGCTCAAATTTATGACAACCGAGTTGAGTTGCCATAATTTTTTAGTTAGATTCTAGTGGCCAATATTGAATATTGTGACATGATTACAAGAATTTTAGAGCATTTGTTACACTGATTGTTAACATTGATCCTACAAATACAATGATGTTAGTATACCATCCGATGGGTAATCTTAAAGTGATTGAGTTGTAACACATAATATTAGATTACATTTCCTCCTGAAGGGGAGAGATGGGGCAGCTGTGTCTTCTGTTTGGTTCTCTAAGAAATGTCTGTCTTCAATCTTGCAATGTAATAGTAGCTTTTGCTTTTTGTACTGCTGCATGGCCTCCAAAGCAAATAATTTGTATAAGTATGTAAAACTCATAAATGGAAACATAAGAAGAAATTGAAGTAAATTTAATCAGTCATGGCCTCCAAAGCAAATAATTTGTATAACTATGTAAAACTCATAAATCAAATGGAAACATAAGAAGAAATTGAAGAAGTAAATTTAATCAGCGTTCAAAATCCTGTTGCTTAATGTAGTAAATTCCTCTAGAGTAGACCCATGGAATCAATGAGAATTTGATGAGTAAACTCAAAAAAAAAATATTGATTCAAATCGGCCTACTGTACCTTAATATAGTAAGTTCTGCTTGGAGTATAGTCATTTGATTCAGTGGGACTTATGCAGTAGCATGGTACCCCCACGCATGGATGCCCCCCCCATTCACCGATGCCAGTCCTTGGAAGAATGGTCTTCAACAAAACCGGTCCCTGGCATTAAAAAGGTTGGGGACCATTGCAGTAGCTGACTCATCAAATCCCTGTTGATTCAATGGGGCTCCTCTAGTGTGATGCAGTATATTAAGCAACCAGGCTTGGCCACCATCTCACAACCAACTTGGCCACCATCTCACAACCTACAAAACCACATACTATTAGCACAGGAGAGCACAAGATTTTAAAAAGCCTAAAAACTATGTGGAAAAGTGATTAGTACAAAAAGTTCTAAAACATTAAAACAAATAAACAAAAAACCCTAAGTCCTGGGAAAATGAAAAGGTCTTCATAGTCATATGTCACTGTTGAACTGACAAGAGAGCCTTTCTGACTGTGACATTCTTAATCAGTGAGTAGACAAAAAGAAGTGATGGTAGAAGGATCCACTGCCTCATCCTCTGTCTTTAATGTGGGATGTGAATGTACTTACGCACAGGTCACTACTGATCACATTTTTCAAAATTTGCAGTCTGTCTTCTGACAAACTATGATCTTGTGATTACACTGGTGATCAACAGCAACTTCAGGGCACCCACAGCTTTTTGTATGGCAAATATAAATGTGTAAAAAAAGACATTGCCAGGCCAATATAACTGCTGTTTGATAAATGAAATCTAATAGCCAGGGAAAACCCTGTCTAGGAAGTAATAGTATCAGGACTTCTATACTTTGTGTAGGTCCTATTTGCAACAGTTATGCAGTGATTTGGAAAACTATACACTAAATTATCATGTTTATACAGTAGTTTTTTTTAAAAAAAGAACATTGGTTTCTAATCAAAGTACACAGATGCAGTTGTCTCTAAGATGAAGTGAAAATAGTGCATTGTTTAGATTAATGTCTTGTTGCCATCTGTTGCAAATCTTGAGTCAGCTCCAAAGGCTTGCCATTACAGTAGCTACTCACATAAGGTGCTTTGATGCCGAGAAATGCTGCTCTTTTCCTTCATCTGACTAAACTCTGTAAAGAAGCTTAGTTTTTCCCCCTTAAATTGAGATAACTATTCTGAAGCATTCAACTTTGTTGCTGTTATTTTATAAAGTACCTGCGTCCTTAGAAGTATCTTATATTGACTGATTTTTTATGGTTTTTCTAGAATAAATCATCAAAGGGCAGGCAGGGAGAGATGTATAGATAGATTCCGTGTTCTATTTTATTGTTATTAATGACCAAAATCCTTCTGGATTCCTATGCCAACATAGTGCAATTTGTGTAAATCTCATTGTTGAATTGTAGCAGATTTAAAAGGTAGTATAGGTATTTTCTGTTATGTAATGTGTCATGATACTTGGCAAGCAACAACAAATATGTGAGCTAATTTAGCAATTTGCAAATGAGATTTATGTCAGTTGCATAGACTGTGGACCATTGTCTATACAATTTCTTCTGATTTTGTTGTAAAGGACATTGAATCTTTTTTTAATCTGTGAGAAACAAATTCTGCTGAGGATCCCTGGCAAAGTAATGGCACAGGTGAATTCCAGCCTGTAAATTTCTGAAGTATAGCTACATGTTAATGCAATCTTAGACTGCAGTAACAAAAGCATGGTGACCAGATCATAAATAATGAGCATACTTCAGGCTATCTAGTTCAATGTGCACTAAACTTGTTCTATATCATAATTTCTATATCATAATTTACTGGAAGAGGTCAGGGTAAGTTAAGTTAGTTAAGTTTTATTATACGGACATAGAGACAAAAATTCAAAGATAAAAACATAATGCAAGATATACAAAATAAGTTGTTAGAACATATCAACAGTATAAAACTTGAGTCAGGTGGTTGTCTTAATATAACATTTTACAAATTCTTAAAACTGAGAATAAAAACTTAGCCACCGACTGTGATCAGGGTTAGAGTCAAAGGAAAATTGTAACAAGTTTCATTGAAAAACCAGGAGGAAGTTTTTTGTATACTCTGCTGGTACAAATGTTCAACATTCGAAAAGCGTGCCTCCAGCAGTTCACCTATGAGGATTGCTGTAGCTACATCTTGAATTGGAAATTAAGCAGAAAAATGGTTTGTGCTCTTCTGTCTTCCAGTATTTTGGAAATCAGCTTCCAGAAGTCCCAGCCACTATAACCCATGATGAAAAATTTGGGAGCTGATGTCACAAACAATAGGAAACCAAAGGTTGAGAACTACAGGAGCAGATGATCTCCAAGGCTTCTTCCAACTCTATGATTCTATAATTTATGCTTTCCATAATTATTGTTGTTGTTTAGTCATTAAGTCGTGTCCGACTCTTCGTGACCCCATGGACCAGAGCACGCCAGGCTCTCCTGTCTTCCACTGCCTCCCGGAGTTGGGTCAAATTCATGTTGGTTGCTTCGATGACACCGTCCTCTGTCATCCCCTTCTCCTCTTGCCTTCACACTTTCCCAACATCAGGGGCTTTTCCAGGGAGTCTTCTCTTCTCATGAGATAGCCAAAGTATTGGAGCCTCAGCTTCAGGATCAGTCCTTCCAGTGAGCTCTCAGAGTTGATTTCCTGCAAAAATGGATAGGTTTGTTCTCCTTGCAGTCCAGGGGACTTTCAAGAGTCTCCTCCAGCACCACAATTCAAAAGCATCAATTCTTTGGCGGTCAGCCTTCTTTATGGTCCAGCTCTCACTTCCATTCATTGCTACCGGAAAAACCATAGATTTAACGTATACGGACCTTTGTCAGCAAGGTGATGTCTCTGCTTTTTAAGATGCTGTCGAGGTTTGTCATCGCTTTCCTCCCAAGAAGCACAATTTTGTCACCATCCGCAGTGATCATGGAGGCCAAGAAAATAAAATCTGTCCTTGTCTCCATATCTTCCGTTTCTATTTGCCAGGAGGTGATGAGACCAGTGGCCATGATCTTAGT